GCGAGGACGTGCGCCCTGTGGCTTCTCGCACGGGGGGCTGGGCCCACGAGGATATCCGCAGCACAGACACCTGTCGTGCCCAGGCCCCCGTCCTGCTTTCCACAGCGTGGACCCCTGGAGGTCCCGACCCTCTCCGCCTCCTCCTCCTCCTCTTTTTCCTTCTCCTCCTCCTCCTCCTCCTCCTCCTTCTCCTCCTCCTCCTCCTCCATCCGAAGTCGCTCATGACGATGGTCGACGAAGCAGGAAGATTTCGGTCTACATGGGAAAAGCCAGTCAGCGCAACAGCTACTGGACCAAGCAGAACGCAACATACCTCAACAATGTGCGTGAAACTGGGTGTCAGGCTACTGCGGGCCACGTTTCTGCTCGTCCGCCGGGAGCGGAGGAGCAGCGACGCAACCCGCAGAGGTCCATCACGGCAGGCCTTCGCGTATGCCGCAGGGAAGTGGTGCTTGCACCTGCACAGAAGGCTCGCGAAAGGTGTGGGCAGCCCTCGCTGCCCATCTGCGCGGACCCGAATGAAAGTGGAGAGGACCAGGGGGAGGAAAAGTTGCAGAGACGGTCATTCGAAGCTTGCTGCGGCAACATGGGGGACAACGGGACCCTAGCCGCGGGCGCCTCGTGTAAGCCACGAAGGAGACGCATGGTGGGCACATGCCCTCGACGGAATGAATACGTCTTTGTGGCCGTCTGGAACTTCCCCATCTGTAGGCCCCCAACCAGAAACCCTCGTAGTCTTCCCATACAAAGAGTAACGTATTGGAGGCTGATCCTGACCCATGGTTTTGGAGTTGATGCTGCTCTTGAACCCTCTGATCGTGCTTGGACGACAAGGGGTTCTTGTTTTAGCCCGATGCGCCGCCTGCAGGCGCCTCGTGCGCAACCTTGTGTGCTGGCTCGGATTTCTGGGTGTTCGCCCGGTGCCCGCCCGTGAGCGCCCCGTGGGCGTGCTGTGTGCCGACTGGGTTCCCGTGGGCGCCCGATGGGCACTCCGTGCGCTGGCTGGCGTTTCCTGATTTACCAGCCTGGAACATATCCCTACCCCTATGTTCGGCATCGCCTCATCACGATGGCGATCTTAAGGATTCCCTCATTTTCTGAGGGTGCATCCCTAAGATTGTCATCGCCTTTTGGCGTGTCAATCTTAGGGATAGGAATAAGTTCGAGGCTGGTGATGGCTGGCGTTTCCTGACGCACACATACAGTGCACCCTGTCCGCCAGCGTGTATCCCAAGCAGCAGGCCCTCGCTCCCTGGAAGAGCACTATATGTGTGTATATATAAAAATATATGTGGGGGGCATCTCTGCGTGGCCTGCAGGTTGCAAAGTCCGTTCACGCACTAGCACTTTCGAAGCTTCGAGCATAAATCCCACCATTCCAGCCGCAAGTTGCGGGCAAAGCTTAAGAGGCCGCAAGTTGCTAGCGCCGTAACGCGCGGACCTTCTAGTGCAGAACCATGGCTCGGGTGGGCGAGGGATGATGATGAAACTAGATTGAACAAGTGATTTGTGCAGGTCACTTTAGGTCGAGTTGGCAAGACAGTGGTTCGAGCGCCTTCGAGCGAAAGCGCAATGTACTGCCTTCTTGTCCTGGGAGGCAGACAGTGCTGAAAAACTCACACAGGATATAGATAGGTGAAGCTTTTTGGCTTCAGATAGCGTCGGGAACGCGTGCGGGAACTTCACCAAGACCCCCAAACAATCCCAGATGGCCTCCAGACAATCCCAAAACACCGCACTGTCCAACCACGCCCCAAAGGGCCCCGGGAACGTACCAAGATCCGGCTGGACTGTTAAAAAATGTTCTACCGAGCTCGAGAGAACCTAGCAGATCCTTCACGACCACGACGGCCCCCAGGTGCCCCATGAGGCCCCCAAGAGGCCCCCATGGGCCCTAAAGAGCCCCCGAAGTCGGCCCCAAGACTCTAAAGAGACCGCGAGGATGTGCGCGAAAGCCCTGGCGAAACCTCCAGCGGGACTGGTTGAATACGCGACGCGTAACGAATGCCACCGCTGCGCGCAGCCCCAACGAACTACCAGGGAGCGGCCGGCAATGCGCCACCACCGATCTCGATATCGTGATAAACTGGATGACGAAGTCCGTGGGTGTATGACCGTTTCTCCAACAAAACCGCGGGTCGCTCCAGCTGCCGCGCTCGTCCCCAGGATTGCACTCCAGAAAGGATTGCTAAACCTATGCGCGTAGCATAGGAACCCGTGCAACATAGGTAAGACACCTCCATGGAGACAGCAAGTGGATGGAATACCGTCCAAATGCGATTCAAGGAACCCTTGAAACAAATGCTAGCCAGTGTGAACCCCAGACAATATGTTATAGCATACGACGGTGCAGCGCATGACGTGCAATAAACGTGGTGCAATCTACGTGGCGTGATGTGTGTGGTACAATCTACGAGATGCAATCTACTTTGACTGTCTTGATGATGTCCTCTCCACTGCTCGTGCAAACAGCCCACCCTCCCACCCGCGACTTGGTCGCAAGGCCTCTTAAGACCGTGACGGCAGGTTCCACATGGCACTTGGCAACGACACCGACGCCGACGACGACAGCGACGACGACGACGCCGACGCCGACTACGACGCCACCGACGACGACTTCGACTTCGACGACGACGACGACGACACCGACGACGAAGACGACAACGCCGACGCCGACGACGCCGACGCCGACGACGACGACGACGATGGCGCCGACAACGACGACGACGCCGAGGACGACGACGACGACGCCGACGACGACGACGACGCCGACGCCGACGCCGACGAAGACGACGACGACCATGACGATGACGACGACGGCGACGAAATAGGAGGGACGACGACGATACGCCGACGACGGACGACGACGACGACAAGGGAGGAGGAAGGACGACCACAGCCACAACGACGACGGAAACGACGACGACGCCAAAGAGGACGACAACGGCGACGACGAGGAAAGACAGGCTGACCACGCCGACGACGATGACGGCGTCTTCGCGTCGGTGATGAAGGTTTTGGAAAGAATTCGAAATGCGCGCGCGGCAGACGCGCGAGAGCGGCTCGCATGCATTATTTGACACGGATCGTGCCACCCCAGCACGCGCGCAAGGGCGTTCGAACGATTTCGCCATGCGCGCGCGAAGCCCGTTTGGTAGCATGTTATGATTATGTTGGAACAAACGCTTGCTTTCTTAAAAAATCGCAAGAGCGCGCGCGCTCGCTTTTGATGCAAATGCGTGTTGCGAAACCATGGTTTGTTTATGCTGTTTGGACACTCGATTTTGAAGTCCTTCCCAAACCGAAAATTGTCTGAGGATTTCGGCATGCGCGCGCGACGACGCGCGCGCGTGCATTTCGTCCCACTTTGTTGCAACGGACTCTCGCGACGGCACGCGCGCAGGGGCGCCCGAACGATTTCGACATGCGCGCGGGCGAAACTTGTTTGCCTGCATTTTATGAGAATGTAAAAACCTATGATTCTTTTCTAAGGGTTCGCAGGAGCGCGCGCACACGTTTTTTTTGAAAAT